GCACCAATATTAAAATGAAATCCCACAAGCCATCGACCAACCTCATCCCGGAGTAAACCCCCGGCGCAACTCAGGCCCGTATCATTAAACACGGCCCCATCAGTGCGTGTATTTACATTGAATTAATCAGGGGCGGATCTACATTGTTATTGGGGGAGGCCATTGTCCCCCCCAAAATTTCTCCAAGGATGTATATATATATATATATACTCTTATTGAACTTATTTTTATTTACTCTAAATAAACAAAAAAATCATGTAAGCCACTTTACTTTCATTTTTAATTAGCTATAATATAATTCTTGTAAGTTCTCTATACATAATCTTTTGTATTATTTAATTCTTTATTCTATGATTATATGAGAACTAATTTGATAAATAAAAACACTTTATATATGTATTTTTTCTGGTTGAAAAAACATATATAATATTAATTGAGAGAATGAGAGTCTATTTTTTTTTTTTATTTTATATTTTTATTTTAAAGTTTACTGGTTAAATATCTATAGCTTTCATGACTTAAGGAAAACTATGCAATTTTAGTTGTATCGTAGTTCCGAACATATGCATTTTTTGCTCTTATATTAAATGTATGACATTATTGAAAGTAATATTGCCCCCCTCAACATATTTTTCTAGATCCGCCCCTGATGTCATGGCCGGTGTTTCTAGAGCCACCGGCCGACCATGAAATCGGGCCTTTCCCTGAGCTTGCGGATGAGACAAGCCGGGGAAATATAAGATTATGAAGTATAAACTATAAAGACTGTTTACTCAAGCTAAACAAACTTCCAGTGATTGTTACAAAGATGGCAAGATTGATATTATGTCCCAGTTTTAAATATTCCACATCTCTAAACACAAAGATGACAAGATTATTATTTATGTCCCAGTTTTAAATATACATAACCATCATAATAATTAGTTACATGTGCCGTTAAAATTACATTACATGTGTATTAAGTATATTTGAAAATTTCATATATCTTAGGAAAAGAATAAGTAAATGTATATTTAAAAATTTCATATATGTTAGGAAAAGAATAAATAAATATATAGTGAATAATAGAGTAGTTTTGTTATGAAAAATAGTACATCTACATTTATTTTTTATTATAAAATAAATTAGAAGTCCCATTTAATAACAATTCTACTGATCAGCGTTCCATGTGATGCTTCAGGCAGATTTCTATACTTCAATCCCATATCACCAGTAGCAATTATCATCATCTTAATAAAAAAAATTAGAATCGTACTATTTTAATATAATAAAATAAAACTAATATTTATCTTTAGTAACATTTTCTATCCGACAAGATGGTCATTCAAGTTTATGGATATATTTTATATTATAAATTTTGATTATATAAGGTAAAGTATAATTGGTTAATAATATTTCATGTATATCAAATCTAACCTATAAAAGTTACTGAAATATGACATGTTAAATAGTTAATATCTATATATAATATATGCATATATACCATTAAGGGTAATATCAATGGGCAATGCTATATGTACACCCCTTTTTAATAAATTACACAAAGGGCAATGCTATATGTACACCCCTTTTTTACACACAAGGGGGTGTACATATAGACACCCCCATATCAATATAATATTAAAGTTACTATAACCATTTACTAGAATCATCTAAACTAGTACCTACTTTTAATTTTGATTAACTCTTATTTAGAAAACTCAATCTATTAGATGTTCTACAATGCAACTACAAGTTGATAGTGTTATGTACCAGTAAAAAAAATAGATTCGGTTTACCTTTTTTTTTTTTTTTTACAAAGGAGAGGCTAGCGCCAAGTAGCGTTAGGGACAAATGTTCCGCGAATAAGAGACACCTCTAATATCGTGCTTTGACCACAGACTGACACCGGACGGTGGAGTTAAAAGATGATGAAGACCAAGAGAACTTGAGGCTGCCTTAGACGCCAAATAATCCGCTGCAAAATTCGCCTCTCGAAAAATATGCGAAATCTTAACATGTCAGTCTCTATTGAGTAGTTCTCTTATGCCTAAAACCAAGCCCGACTGAACACCAGTTATATCTTCTGTGTTAGTTGCAAAACTACAACGTTGCATTCTCAACTTCCGCCACAACCTGATGGTATTCAATATCCTAAGTCATACTAAAACCATGAAATAAGCCCCATAACTCCGCTCCGATGATAGAGCACAACCCAATATTTATCGTGAAACCACCTAGTCATCCACCATGAGTATCTTGAATCAACCCACCAGCAGAAGCCATACCCGAGGATTTATTATAAGCCCCGTCGGAATCCACTCTAACCCAAGACTCAGTTTACCTTTAATTTCATTTTAGACCCAAGTAGAGTTTCGAGATCTTTGCATTGGAATTTGGAATGACATAATTTTATTACATCTATTTAATTCTATCCATCTACTTTGGTCTATTTATGACACATAAGCAAAATTAGACCAAAACGTTATTGATGATCTAATTATATATTAGATATTATAATAAGCAAAATTAGACCAAAACGTTATTGATGATCTAATTATAATGAAAAACAACAATGCTGTTATTTGTAGTGTACAATAGTGTATTTGTGGCAAAAGTTTAAGAAACTAACACAGTATCAAAGTTCCCAACACAAATATATAAAAAAAGCATAATCTCAATTCAATAAATTTTAATTAAAATCAACTCACCAATAAATCGAACCAAAAAGCAATTTTTATATATCCAATCCCCCCTTAAACAATTTTGTATGCCTCTAATTGTATCCCTTTGCCAATACAGGAACAGAGTATATCAAAGTTCCCAACACAAACGATACAAAAAACGTAACTATGGCATAAGCATAGGCCCTCCACGGACAATCGCTCTCTCTCATTGCGTGAAACTCGGCAACAAAAGTCGAAACCGTACTCAGACAACCGAGCAGCCCTAACTGAATACCAGATGCCACCGTATCGCAATTCTTCGTCTTAACCTATACAATAAAACAACTTACTATAAGTGGTAAAGAAAAAAAAAAGAGTTCTTTTTCTTGTGTATTTTTTATCCTTAATTTCATATTGATTGGTAGAAACCAAAAGAGTAAGGGAGTTTCCTTATGAATATCGTTACGTGGAATGTGCAAGGTGCTGGCTCGCCTAAATTCATGGGAGTCTTTTCCACCTTAATGCATCAAGTTCGGCCGGATATTGTAGCTCTA